TCACGCAAATTCTTCTGCTAGTTGGGGTTTAGTCCACTTTTGTATCCTTCCCTTCAAGGCTCAGGGGTCCAAGATTATCTTCTGTGTCTGTGTTAATTGTTTTCCCTTTTCTTTGTTGAAGAGGGTCTGTGCAGTCCTTCTGCCTAGTCCGCCATCTTGCCGGAACTCCCTCCTCCATTGCATCTTGCCACAGATGTAGTCAGTCTGATTCCTGTGTATTCCATCTGGTGAAGTCCATGTGTATAGCCACTGTTTGTGTTGTTGAAAAAAGGTATTTGCAATGAATTAGTTGTTGGTCTTGCAAAATTCTTTCCTGCAATCTCCATCGTTATTTCTATCACCCAGGCCAAATTTTCCAACTACTGGTGATTCTTCTTTGTTTCCAACTTTTGCATTCTAGTCACCAGTGATACTTACCACACCTTGAATGCACATTTGGTCAATTTTAGACTGCAGAAGTTGATAAAAATCTTCAGTTTCCTCATCTTTGTCTTTGTTGTTGGTGCACAAATTTGAGTAATAGTCATATTAACTGGCATATGGATAGTATCCTATCACTGAGAGTGTTGTACTTCAGGAAAAATCTTGATGATGACGTACCACACCATTCCTCTTCAAATTGTCACTTGTGGCATAGTAGATCATATGGTTGTCTGATTCAAAATGGCGAAAACCAGTCCATTTCATCTCACTAATGCCTGGTATATCAATCTTTATGTCTTCCATTTCATTTTTGACAACTTCCAGTTTCCCTAGATTCATGCTTCGTACATTCCATGTTCTGATTATTAATGGTTGTTTGCAGCTGGTTCTCCTCAATTTGAGTCATACCACATCAGCAAATAGAGGTCTCAAAAGCTTTTACCTATATCAGTAAGGTTCATTCTACTCTGATGATACAGGTCTTTACTTTTGAAAGCCTTCTGACCTAAGGGGCTCATCCTCCTGCATTGTATTGGACAGTGTTTCTGGGGTATACATAAAGTTGCACAGTATTGTGTCAGTGTTTCTCTGCTATTCATAATGTTTTCCCTGGCCAATTCTTGGACAAGTAGATGGCCTCTTCCTTCTTCCTAGTCTATCTCAGTCTGTAAGCTGCATTGAAACCTGTGCACCATGTGCAACCCTACTGGCGTTTGAAATACCAGTGTCACAGCCTCAAGCCTCAGAGCAACACACTAGCCACCACAGTATGACAGACTGACAGACAAGTTTGTCTCCCTTAGCTGTTCGAAACCTCTCCACCCTCTCTTACCTGGATCCTGCCACTGCTCACTTTGCCATCCCCTTGGCTTCTTTCCCCCGTCTACTTTTCTGCCTCTTGCGGGTGGGCCTGGGTTCCTCCTATTACCTGGATCCCTGCCACTACTCACTCTGTCTTTTAAGCCATTAGACATAAAAAACAAAGAAACAAAAAACAAAAAACTTGTTGGAAAGAAGAAAAAATTAGAACCTGTTATATGTGACATCAAAGAGCTCCAAATATGACATCCAGGATTGCTTTTCTAAGGAGCCTCTCACTGAGGATTTTTCCTTTCTGTGCATGTATTTTTTGGTCTGGGACTATATGGTGTAGCACCTAAGGCATTTGACTGCTAACCAGAAAGCTAGCCCTTCAAACCCACCAGCCACTCCTTGGAAGGAGGACTGGGCAATCTCCTTGCATAGAGATACCACCTTGGAAACCCAAGTAAGGGTTGCTATGAGTCAGATTCGTCTTGCCTGCAGTGAGTTTGGGTTTTTTGGTTTTCATGTTTATAATCTTAAAAATAAGTGTTATATTTTAAAATACCACATTTTAAAAATGTACAATTCAATTTTTATAAAAATGCTACAAATGAGTGTATTAAACATTGGTTAAAATCATGTTATTATATATTTTTACTAATTATGTATAAACAATTATTTATTTCCTGAATTTCAGTTGTAAAGTATCCCTGTGGCTGCTCTAGAATATAGCACATTATACAAGTGAAGGATATGTGATATATTAATGATATCTACTAATTTTTAAAAGTAATTTCTCTTTTTCAGTTTGATTACATGGGCTCTGACATAAACGTTGTTACACAGAAGGTTATTCTGATAATTGGCCTTGTTAATGCTGTAAGTGTTTTATTTTTTAATTTTTAAAATATATTTTATAAAAATACTATTAATATGAAATCTGTATAGTATTTGCTGTGCTGTTGAAGAATTCTATAAAGTACCAAATTAAATGTTTTAAATAAATTTTTATGAAAGTTTGAAATAATGTTCACATTTATTCAAAATTTTTCATTTATATTTTCCTCCTAGATGCTAATCCAGTTAAAACTGACTGTCATAATATCTTCCATAGAAATCTGGTCAAATAAAAACAAGATATCTACTACAGGGCAACCTGATCATGTATTACTTAGATTGCTAGAATGGGAAAGCAAGTATCTTGTACTTCAACCTCATCATATCACATTCTTGTTTGTGTAAGTATAACATTCAGTATTTCTAGGGCATTAAAAGAATAACCCAAAATAACTTAATATGTTAATTATTTAAAATAAGCATTTACTGTGTTCTACAAATTTGATGGACACCATGGGATGTCTTGTTCTTTAGAAGTTAATCTTAGGCAAGGCATGCAAAAACTTAAAATTACTTGATATAAGTAAAGTTACATAAAAAGTAGTGAAATAGCTAAAGTAATTTAATTATGAGCAGTACTATCTCTTTGGTTTTCGTTGGCTTATAAACCTTTGGTATCTGGTATCTTTTTTGTACGTTCTTGTCTTTCATCTAATTAATTCTTATATTTTTAATTTCTAATAACATTAATATATTGAATTACCAGAGTACCTACAACTTGATGCATAGAAAAATCTACTTATCTTTTGTGAATAAATTAGTAAGTAAGATGGAGGGATATGAATGTAGAGGGAACCAAAATGACAACCAGTATAATAAGTGCAGAGGCATTTTGCAAAAACTATTAGATCTCATCCTTATCCTACTTCTTGTTTATTAGATTCAAAATTCACAAATGGATTACAAAATATCCTTAACATTGAGGCTTTTAGAAAAAATCATACTAAAATAGTGTAATACATAGTAGCATGGTGCTTAGGAGGAGTTCTGGTAGCTCAATGGTTAAAACATTCAGCTGCTAACCAAAAGGCTAGAGGTTTGAACACATCAGCTGCTCCACAAGAGAGATGAGACAGTCTGCTTCTGTAGAGATTTACATCCTTGGAAACTCTATGGGGTGGTTCTGCTCTGTCCTATAGTGTTGCTATGAGTAAGAATCGACTCGATGGCAGTAGGTTTGGTTTTGGATTTGGTGCTTAGAACATGGTATTGTTCAATAATGTTTGCAGTTAATAAAAATTAGTATTGTTTATGATACCACTCTAAAGTACACTCATAAGGAAAATTATTATTTTATTTTCTAGCTTTAGAAAGTATCCTAGTTTTATAGGAACCACATTTCCTGGAAAATTGTGTAACAAAAATTATGCTAAAGGAGTTGCTTTGGTATGTAATTATTATCTAGTTTGCACTTAAAATGTTCATGTTTCAAATGTTCATTAGTATTTTTAATATTATATATTTAAATATTAATATTTTAAAGTACGAATAAATAAATCACTTAGTTTCATGCTCCTTTTATAGCTTTTTGTATTATAATTTGGAGCAGAAATATTCAATGTATATTATTGCTTTAAGAATGAATGGAACATTTAAAAATTGTAGTGATCATTATGTCATATTATAAGTAAAATTTAATCATTTTGAACTGTGATATGCTATGCATCAATCTTATATTTTCAGTGAAATTTTATGTTAATTGTTATGTTATGTTATGTTATTTATCATTTTTTTCTAATTTCACAATTGCTATACACTATGAATCTTTATTAAATAATACCTATTTTTTCTCTTTTAAGGATTATTCTAGTCTTTATTATGTTTGGGAGAAACTGATTAGTATGGAAGAAATAGGATAGTCATAATCTAATGTTATCCAGCATAAATGAGAATAAACTTACTGCAGCCAAGTTATATAAAAATTAGAGAGGATAACAAACTAGAGAGTGCTTCAATATATAAGTCTGTACTATGATTTTTTTATTTAAAACTTAATAGTTCTACTAAGATCAGCACAGATTCTACCTGGTTAGTTTGGTCAGGTATAGTGTACATTCTTAATACATGTTTTTTTTTTTTAATGCCAGAATTTCAAAAATAATATAGATTTAATAATATTTCATGATATTCTCCTTTATAATGTTATTATACATATTCTTTGTCTGCTTTTATATGTAATATTTTTCTGTTTTTTGTCCCTTAAAATCATTATTTCTGATTCATATTCTTATCTATTTTCTATTCTTTCTTGCTTACTATACTTTTGTTCTAGTGCTACTGTAACAGAAGTACCACAAGTGGGTGGCTTTAAAGGACAGAAAATTGTTTATCAATTCAGGAGGCTAGCAGTTCACATCGGGAGCATCACTCAAGTGGGAAGGTCTTTTTTTTTTTTGTCTCTTTCAGCTTCTAGTAATCGGCAATTCTTCGAGTTCCTGGAGTTGCATATTCATTTCCTGCCAACATCCTTTGATGGCGGCTGTCTTCCCTCTGTATGTGCTTGCTTCTGGGTCTAAACATCTCTTTTTATTTGACTCAGAAGTGATTATGTTATGTTAAGGACACATACCACACTGTTACAGTTTCATTAACATAACAAAGAAAAACTATTCCCAACCAGGATTACATCCACAAAAGGCCAATATTCCAGCATATATTTGGATGGGACACAGTTCAATTCATAACACTTTTCTTTCTTGGATATCTTGTATATTAGTCTTAATTTTTGAGTTGCTTATTTCTTTTTCTTCAACAATTTCCTGAATTCTGTCACTTACTATTTCACATCTTCTTGTTATTTTCAATTGAGTTTTAAATATTTTGATCCGTGGTGCTTTTGTACTGTGATTGCTTGTTTAACTTAGACAGTTAATATTGGAAAGCTGTGTTATCTTTTAACTGTTCTTCATAGCTTCATTTTTTTGGGGGGGTACATATCCTCTTCTGCCAAATATTTTGATAGTCATTTTGTTTTTGCTTCTCCCCCTTGTTTAATCAATTGCAACAACCAAATTCACTGTCATCGAGTCAATTCTGACTCATAGCAACCCCCATTGGGTTTCCAAGGCTAATAAGGAGCTCTTGTGGTAAAGTGGATAAGGCATTTGGCTGTTAACCAGAAGTTTGGAAGTTCAAACCCACCAGTTGCTCCACAGGAAGAAGACAGGCAAGGAAAATGAAAAAATCTACTTCTGTAAAGATTTTAGCCTTGGAAACCCAATGGGGGTCCCTATGAGTTGGAATTGACTTGATAGCAGTGAGTGTGGTTTCGGTTTTTTAAAATGTTTATGGAAGCAGACTGCCTTATTTTTCTTCTGCAGAGAGGCTGGTGGGTTTGAACCACCGTCATTTTGGTTAGCAGCCAAATGCCTTAACTACTATACCACAAGAGCTCCTTACAGCCTATTACCACTATTCTATCAATAGTCCTTAGATTTTCATCTCAATCATTAATATGGATCATTTTGTTAATGAAATTATGATTGTTAATTTAATGATTCATTACTGGCATAAAATCAGTATTGTTGTTGTTTTAATGTCATTTTGATATTTCCTTGGTTTGATTTGCAAATATTTCAGTTAGTGTTTTGCATTTTCATTCATGAATGAGTTTGAAGTGCAATTTTCCTTTTTTTGTCTTCCTTTCTTGATTTTTCTGGCAAGTCACATAAAGCAATAGAGGAATACTCTCCCTCTTCTATTTTCAGTGAAAGATTGTTGTTATAGCTATCTTAAGTATATAAAAAAATTTACAAAGTTGTTCACAGTGTAATCTGAAGATTTTTTAAATGTCTGCATGATTTTTGGTCATTTCACATTTTTCTTTCTTGATATTGATATTTTGTATTTGCTTTCTATTTTTTCTTAACTAATGTCATTTAATATTTTTCAAAGAAACTTTTGCTTTCTGTATCATCTGTACTATACATTTGTCTTCAATTTCATTAATCTTTGTTCCAATATCTGTTTATAACTATTTGCTTCTACACCATATTCTTCTCCTCTTCTTCAGGAATACAGTTAAGCATACGATTCTCATATGAATTACATTTCTGTGTTTCTCACCCTAGCTTCTCTGCGTCCTCTTCTCTTCTGGATTTATTTTAATGTTTTTCTTCAGATCCAAATTTAATTTCAATTTCTTCAGTTATTTTTAAGCAACTGCTAACTCCCTCCAAACACTTTACTTTTTCAAATTTATTTTTATTGTGGTGAAAACATACATATCAAGACATTCACCACCATAACAATGTCCACATTTACAGCTCAGGGTTATGGATGCCATTTTTCATATTGTGCCACCATAACTGCTATTTTTTTTTTTGCAAAATATTCCACCACCATTAGGATAAAAAGAGCTCTGGTGGGACAATGCCTACGGCATTTGACTGCTATCCAGAAGGTTGGCAGTTCAAACCCACCAGCCACTCTATGGAAGGAAGACAGGGCAATATGCTTCTGTAAAGATTAACCGCTTCAGAAATCCAGTGTGGGTCACTATGAGTAGGAATAGGCTTAATGACAGTGTTTTTTTTTTTTTTTTTTTTTTTCCCAGGTTATGAGCATAAACTCAATGCCTCCCAAACAAAAGCTTCTGCTTTCTCCTTCCCTTCTACCGCTGGTACCCACTAATAATCTTTGGTTTCATACTCTCTCTCTTTCTCTTTCTTTGTGTTTCTCTATATATATTTTACCTATCTAGCAATTTCCTTCCCCTCTGCTCCACTCCACTCACCTGCCTGGTAACCAACAGTGAAAGTTTCCTTCTATATATAAACCTTTCCTGGACTTTTTAAAATAGTGTACTAAAACACTATTTGTCCTTCTGTAGTTGATTTGTAGTTGATTTACTTCACTCAGGAAGATCAATGGAAAAAGAGTAAACACATGGAAACTGAACAACGCCCTCCTTGAGAAAGACTTGGTAAGAGAGGAAATAAAAAAATGAAATTCAAAAATTCCTTGAATCAAATGAGAATGAAAACACAACATACAAAAATCTTTGGGACACAGCAAAAGCAATGATCAGAGGCCAATTTATAGCAATAAATGCACACATCAAAAAGAAGAAAGAGCCAAAATCAACACTTCAAACCAACATCTCCAACAATGAGAAAAAGAACAGCAAGAAAAAGATTACAGTCACCAGAAGAAAGGAAATAATAAAGATTCACATAAAAATCAATGAAACAGAAAATAGAATTTTCTATTGTCTATAGAAAAAAATCAACAAGACTAGAAGTTGTTTTTATGAAAAGATTAATAAAATTGACAAACCACTGGCAAATTTAACAAAGGAAAAGAGGGAGATAATACAAATAACACAAATAAGAAAGAAAATGGGTTGCATCACAACAGAACCAACAGAAATAAAAAGGGTAATATCAGGATACTGTGAAGAACTGTACTCCAACAAATTTGAAAATCTGGAAGAAATAGATTTCTTTCCTTTCCATACAAAATTAGTGATTGTTTTGTTCATATCCTTAAAGAATATTGATGGGATCTGGATTGTGATTCCATTGCATGTATAGATTGCTTTAGGTAGTATTGACATTTTCACAATGTTCTATCTTCTTATTCCCAAGTATTTTATTTTTTTGGTAGCTATCGTAAATGGTATTGATTTCCTAACTTCTTTTTCAGCAATCTCTTTGCTGGGGTAGAAGAATCCAAGTGATTTTTGGATGTTGATCGTATATCCTGCCACTATGCTAAATCTCTCAATTAGTTCCAGTAGATATTTTACTGAGTATTTTGCATTTTCTATGTATAGTATCATATCATCAGCAAACAGGGATAATTTGACTTCTTCCTTATCAATTTGGATGTCTTTGATTTCTCTTTCTTGTCTTATTGCCCTATTACTTCCAGGACAATATTAAATAGAAGTGGAGATAGATGGTGTCCTTTTCTGGTTCCTGTTCACAAGGGGAATGGTTTCAGTCGTTCTCCATTGAGAATAATGTTGGCTGTTGGTTATACATAAATGCCCTTTATTAATGTTGAGGAATGTCCCTTCTATTCCTATTTTGCTGAGAATTTTTATCATGAATGGGTGTTGGATTTATCAAATGCCTTTTCTGCATCGATTAATATGATCATGTAGTTCTTTTCCTTTGCTTTATTTATGTGATGGATGACATTGATTGCTTTTCTAATGTTGAACCATCCTTGCATACCTGGTATGAACCCCATTTGGTCATAATGAATTTTTTTTTTAAGTGTTGTTGGAAATTATTGGTTAATATTTTGTTGAAGATTTTTCCCTCTATATTCATGAGAGATATTGGTCTGTAGTTTTCCTTTTGAGTGATGTCTTTGCTTGGTTTTGGTATCAAGGTTATGCTTGCTTCATAGAATTAATGTAGGAAGATTCCATCCTT